TAAATGTTCATCAATATGAAAAGAATTGAATTGCATACATTCTAATGGAATACTCCACAGCCATTAAAAATATAATGTAGATTCATATAAGCTGATAGGCAAATATGACAATTTTTTTAAAAGTTGAATATTATACACATCCAATTGTAGTATCTATATGTGCATATGTAGTGAAAATTTCTAGAATATGCAAGAAACAGTAAACAGTAGATACCTCTGGAGATTGAAAATAAGGATTGGAGACAGGAGAAGTTTTTCCTCTTCGTATCCTAAAGTGGCTAAGTTTCTTATGCATATTCCGTTATAATAAGAACAAAATAATGAAAGTAATGAACAAAAAAGTTAACAATGGTTTGAGGCAGTGTTAGGACAAAGGTAACTTTTATTTTGTCTCTAGTTTCCTTTTTATACTCTTCTGCATTTTCTTAATTTTCTGTGATTAACAATATATTAGCATATCTTGCTTTTCAAATCGCCAAAGCTAGTATTTGTTTTTTATTTTTTAAGTCAAGCATGATCACTTCTGGTTCAAATTAGAGGAGAAAAACACATAGTTCAATTATAAACACTGTGGCAATTACAAAAATATATGAAAAGATTCAATTTTGAAAATGCTTTTGTTTGTAGAAACTAGTCAGGAACACCAAGAGAGTGAAGTTAAAGAAAAATCTTGATTTAGTTTAGTTTACTGGAGTTGCTCATGTAGAACTGGTGCTTAAGGAAGCAAAAAGAAATCAGTATTCTGAAGAAAGCTGTGCCAAACATTTGCAGAAAGATTAAGTAATATCTATAAAAGGGTGGGGTTTTTCAAAAGATTTTATATATTTTATTTTTAGACAGAGAGAAAGAGAGGGAGAGAAACTTTAATGTGTGGTTACCTCTCACATGTACCCTACTGGGGACCTGGCCCACAACCCAGGCATGTGCCCTGACTGGGAATTGAACCAGTAACCTTGTAGTTCACAAGCCAGCGCTCAGTCCACTGAGCCTTACCAGCCAGGGCAAAAGGGTGGTTTTTAAGAATTTTTTCAAGTCTAACCTCAACACTCAACACGGACATCCCTTTTAGAACACTCTTACCACTCATTCAAATTCTGCTTAAAGTATCCTGTGTCAAAAAATTCTTGCACGTTCAGTCAATATGGCAGCATACGCAGACATGGCTTGTGTCTTCACACAACCACATCAAAATTACCACTAAAATATAGAACCATAACTCAGAACTGTCAGAAATTGAGTTGAATGGTAGTCCGACAACTAGGGAATTAAAGAAACCACATTCGTTCAGACTGGTAGGAGATCACAGACGCAGAACAGCCTCGTCCCTCACCCACTTGTGGTGGATAAAAATTCAGGAGGGATATCTCAGAAGCAGAGTCTCAGCCCTACACCCGGGACCCTCAGGCAGGGTTTCAGTGCCAGGAAGATAAGTCCCCACAACTTCTGGGTTCAAAAACCATTGAATCAGTAGAAGAAACTGCTGGAGCCCCAAGCAGTTCCTCTTAAAAAATCCACACACTGACTCACCTACTCAGACTCACTCACTCTGAGCTCCAGAACTGGGGTAGCAGCTTGAAAGACACCAGTAATACACAAGGAGAAACTGAAGTGTCTGGTATCAAGGAAGCAAAAGCCATTGTCCCTCTTCTAAACCCTCCTCCACAGAGCGGGGAAGCTGGTGCTATATCTGAGACTCCATCAGCCTAACACTGTTTGACCAGCCTTGCAGATCCCCAGAGACTCTGAGCCACCCAATTTACAGGCCCACCCAAGCTACTTTTCCATATAAATGGCTGGTCTTGGCTCAGCTTCTCAACTTCCTAAATCCTATCAAACAAGCAACAGCTGGCGTCAGTAACTCCCAGGCCCAACACCATTAGAAGTCAGCCTAGAGTCACAGCTAGCCTTTGCCTGGGAATCTCCAAGCCGAACACAGGCAACAGCCATCTCAGATTGCTTTATAGCTCAGGCAGGGTGGCCCTGGGTAAAACACAGGTGGGGGCTGACCTTGGCCTGCACCACCTGGGAACCCTAAGGATAATGCACTTAATGGACAGCTATAGGCCACGTTGGAGCACCACCACCCTGCCCCAGCACAGCTGATCCTCCACAGAGGGTGGGTTGGTGGCGGCAGTCACAGCCAATCCTTGCAACTGACCGGCCTCGGTAAATCCCTCCTATTGATTTGTCAACAGCAACCAAGGCCCCACTATAAGAGGAGGGTGTATTCAGCCAACATTAAGGGTGCACACTGAATACCCAGCTTGAGTGACAGAGGAGGCTATGTCACTGGACCCCACAGGGCACCTACATTAGACCATACTACCAAGACACAGATTCAAAGCAGCTCTACCTAACACATAGAAACAAACACAGGGAGGCTGCCAAAACAAGGAAACAAAGAAACATGGCCCAAATAAAAGAACGAATGAAGACACCTGAAAAAGAACTAAGCAGAATGGAGATAAGCAATCTATCAGATGCAGAGTTCAAAACACTGGTTATTAGGATGCTCAAGAAACTTAGTGAGGACCTCAGCAGCATAAAAAAAGACCCACTCAGAAACAAAGGATACACTGATGAAAATAAAAAACAATTTACAGGGAAACAACAGTAGAGTGGATGAATCCAAGAATCAATTTAATGATATGAACATAAGGAAGCAAAAAACAACCAACCAGAGCAAGAAAAAAAAAAATCCAAAATATCAAGGATAGTATAAGCAGTCTCTGGGACAACTTCAAGAGTTCCAACATCTTCAGCATAGGGGTGCCAGAAGGAGAAGAGAAAGAGCAAAAAATTGGAAATGTATTTGAAAAAACAATGAAAGAAAACTTCCCTAATTTAGTGAAGGAAGTAGACATGCAAGTCCAGGAAGCACAGAGTATCCCAAACAAAATGGATGCCAAGAGGCCCACTCCAAGACACATCATAATTAAAATGCCAAAAGTTAAAGAGTGAACCTTAAAAGCAGCAAGGGAAAGGAGTTAGTTACCTACAGGGGAGTTCCCATAAGACTGTTAGCTGATTTCTCAGAATAAACTTTGCAGACTAGTGGGATTGGCAAGAAATATTCAAAATCATGAAAAGCAGGAACCTACAACCAAGATTGCTCTACCCAGCAAAGAAATCATTTAGAATCAAAGGGGAGATAAAGAGCTTTGCAGATAAGAAAAATCTAAAGGAGTTCATCATCACCAAACCATTATTAAAAAGAAATGTCAAAGAAACTTATTTAAGAAAAAGATCAATACTATGAACAATAAAATGGCAAAAAACACAATTCTATCAACAATTGAATCTAAAAAACAAATTAAGCAAACAAGAAGAACAGAGGCAGGATCGTGGATACAGACAGCATTTTGCATGGATGCCAAATGCATTGGAAGGGGCTGTGGGGGAATGGGTGATGAGGAGAGGGGATTAAGAAGTACAAATAAGTAGTTACAGAATAGCCATGGGGATGTAAAGTACAGTATAGGAAATGGAGTAGCCAAGGAACTTATACTCATGACCGATGGACAATGGTGGGGATATTGCCTGAAGAATGACTGGGTGGTGCTGGGTGGAATGGAATCAAAGTGGGGAAAATCAGGACAGCTGTAATAGCATAATTAATACAATATAATCTTAAAAAATAAAAATAATCCTCATAAGTATGTTTGTTAAGAACAACCCTAATTGATAAAGTTCTTCCTTACATTAAGCTAATATCTAATTTCCTACAATTTTCAATGATTGGCCAACTTGTCCCAACTCTGTCCTCTTGAACAACAGTTTTCTTAAAGTATTTTCATCTATTATGATCCTCTCCCTCTTAAATTTCCTCAAAACTAAACCTCTTGATTCTTCAAATGACTTCTACACCCTCCATTATTCTAACCATTCTCCTCTGAAGAAATTCTAGTTTCTTAACGTGCGTCTTGGAATCAAATACCCCCACTGATCACAAAATTCCAGATCTTATTGGGCCAGCGCTATTATCACCTTTGTGTGGGTCACCATGAGAATAACAGTACAAGACCAGGTGCCAGGCAGTTTACAATCCATTGACAATTTAGTGGCACTGTTCAGACCATAAGTAATTTATGTATTTAAGAGTTAAAAGTGTATAGAAAGGTAAGATGACTGAGGAATTGAGGAAATTTTCAACAAACAATGTAGATTATAAATTTGGAAAGGAAGTACACATTTTTGATAAGCAGAAAATACAGAAAGAAAACTATTTGGGGAATATAAATCCAGGACAGTGCAGAGACAGGAATGACCCAAGTTAATACTACAGCAAACTACTTGTGTAAAGACAGGCAAGAATAGAACCAAAAAGGAGGGCTGGAGTCAGACTATTTATATCAAGAGCCCTTAACCTGAATGACTGAAGGGTTAGATCAAGAAATTGACTTCTTCATTGAGATGGTCAGGATGATTAAAATCAATATCAGTTTGCCAACTTCTACATCAAATCAAAGACTGCTTGAATTTTGACTATAAAAAAATGTTTCTAATTCAAATCTACTCCAAGATGAACAGAAATTGAGTTGTTCTACATATATCATTACACAGACTTCTTTCAGAAGATGAATCACATTCCTAACTGCTAAAATATGATGCTAAGGAATTCATTTTAGAAAGATTTATTTTGACCCATTTCTGTAGGTTTCGCCAGGATGAATAATTTGCCATTTAATATGAATACTTCTATATAAGGTAGCTGCCTATTTCAGTAATTAATAATCATCAGGATCTCCATTCAAAAGACAATGACCTGCTGGTCTCCAATCCCCCAGGTTCAAAAGAAGAAAAATTTCACTAATGAACATTAAAAGGTTAAGATGTTAGCTAAACAGCAGAATTTCTAGACATGAATACTGCCCGATACAAATAAACAAATAAAACAGCACCTTCTTTAAAGTAATTTAATAGTGCTGCTGCCTAAAGACTTCATAAGGACTAGCTCTGTAATACCGTGTGGCAGTAGAGACTTAAACTGTCCAAGAGTCTTCCACAGCTACTGGCCTGCCGCTGTTCTTGTGGTGGCAGTTGTAACATTCCTCTGTGGGAAAGGAAGTGTTACATGATTAAACATCTTTCTTAGCATAACAGAAAATGAGCATATATGTGTGACAAACACAAGATGTGTTCTGTAGTTTTGTGTGGCTAAGAGATAATCCTTTTGAAACAAATTAAGATTTGTCACGTGTCTTGGATTAGGATAAAAAATGAAATATTTGAGTAAAAAAAAATTGTCCAAGAGTCATTGCAAAACCCAACCTCTCCCAAATCCTGCTACTCAACAGCAGGGATCTGAAGGAATAAATAGACTCCCAGCTGCTGACAGACATGTCTTCCTAAAAGCAAATCAAATTCTCATTAATGAAAAAACAACCATGAACGAAAAAAAAAATCTGTGTGTCTCATAATCCCCAGAAATAGCCAAATCCATTATGGGTTAATGCAGATTTAACAAAACAGTGGAAGAGAACAGAGAAAAGCAGTCCTGTTGGTCAGCAGCTGGGGGAAACTACTTATCAGAGAGATCACAAACAATGCTTCTAATCCACAGGGCCAGAAAAAACATGAACTGTAATTCACCAGTAAAAAAGGTTCAGCCAGAAAGAGATTCGTATAGAACAATTCTCTCTCTCACAAGCCACCTTATTCCATCTGATTCAACACAGGTATGACAGGCCGTAACTTGGAATTTCCCAATATCAAATTCGACTGGTAATCCAAATCTTGCTTTTTCTAATCAGCTCATCTCTAAAATCACAGTCCTTGCATTCATTCAAAACCAGCATTGATCTTCTACTATGTCAGGCATGAGGAATACAAAAACCTGTAAGAAACAGTCTCTGCCCTCTTGGAGCTTAGTCCATGCACCTTGCCTCATCTTAAACCCCAAAGCCCTTGTCTTAAAATATCCTCTTAGATGGATCAAGTGTCCTCAGTGAAAAAGCAGTAAGGTCCCTTCACCTTTAATTACTGTGACAGAAGCTAAGTAAATCAATCAATCACACTTCTTAGGCTCTGTTCTGGAAGGAGAGAAGCCAACACACCTTTGCAAGTGTAATATGAGAAACAGCTTAGCCTAGAAGACTATGGGGAAGGAGCAGGGGATCAGAGCAATAGAGGGGTGCAAGCCAAGAAATACACTGGAAGAAGGGATGTGACAGCTGTCCCACTACGTGTTCAAAGAGTGATTTAAAAAGAAGAAAGATCCTGCTACTAAACCGACTGTAGTTTTAAGGGTGCCGGGAGGAGAAAGAAAAGAATGAGAGACTGCCCACTACTGACAGACCACAACTATCCTCGATCTCCTTGCTCAGTCCACTCTCACTAAAGAAGAGCGCCCATCACTGTTTAATAGGATCTGGGCCTGCCAGCCAACAACACTGTCACATGGCCACCGGAATGGGGAGGTAACAGTCCCTTCACGGGACTGTTATAAATAAGTTAACATAATTTTCCCCAAGGACAGACAGGAAGTGAAGTTTGTAAACGGTGGTAACCCGACGTCTACTGGAAGCGTGTGGGGACCTCTCAGCGACCCCCAACCCACCCTCCCCCGAAGGCCGCGCACTCACCACGCACGCAGAGCAGCGACATGTTCGAGGAGACGGCGTGACTCCGCCGCGCCTCTGCCGGGTCGCCACACTCTCTTCCCTTTCAGCAGGTGCCGGGGCTGCTCCTTCTATCGGCCCCAAGGGTCTGGCCGCTGTTCATGTTCCCCGTCGCAGGCAGCGGTCTGCCACTCCCTTCGACCCGCTCCAATTCTCACCGTCTGAGGGGGTTCCCGATAACTATGAGTACCAGCCGGCAGGCTGGGGACTGGGTGCGGCACCACGGCGCCATCGTTGGGAGGCAGGAGCAACCGGGACTCCCTCCCACCCCTCCACCCGGGATCCTTGCGAGCGCCTGGACAGAGCCAACCCTGGGCGCCCAGCCTCCCAGCCAATCAACTCACGCCCAGTCCACAGGCCCCGCCCCCAGGCACGTAGGAGGCGGAGTCTCCCCTCTTTTCCCTATGGGCAAGAACGGAGGGATCTCCTCCCACTAAGAGGCTTAACCCAAGGAGGGGCGGGGCTTCCCCTCACCTGTGTGAAGTGGGAATTGAAGCCCTCTTCTCCTCCAGTGTGGGCGGGCTTCCTCCCAAAAAACAGGTTCTTTTCATTAGAGAATTTCCATTGAACTTCATTAAAAGGTCTATCCCTTGGCTGATGGAGTACTTACCGGTAATAATTTTAAAAGATCTGTACCACACAGCAGGCATGTTTTTAATTAGCAACGACGGTAAAAAAAAAAAAAAAGGTCTGAAGACCTCAGTTGTCTAGACCTTCATGATCGCCATTGGGTCTCCAATGTCTGGATACTGCCAAGTATATTGTAATCAGTCCAAAATTACCTACTGATTGAAGGATGAAGGGAACAAGGCTTTTTATGCTGGGGACTTCTGGCAAGATGTGATGGAAGGGAAAAAGAACAGAGCAGGAAACAGAAAGACACGTGGTATGATGTACAGGTACACCTCCTCACCCCAAATTCTGATTTAACTGCTTTGGGATAGAGTTAAGGCACTGTATTTTTTTTAAAAGCTCCCCCAGATAATTCTAATGTGATGCCAGATTTTGGAATATGTGCTTTTAATGCCTCATCAGCCCAGCTAAGATTTCAGGCTGTGCAAGCTCTGGGCACCATAGGATTGACAGGAAGGGTCTGTCAATCTAATAGGGTCCTTGCCTTCCAAAAGCAAACCTAGCCACAATATGATGCCTCCCAATGGAATAGGTACTATGAGAATGACACTAGGAGCCTTAAGAAGAAAAGGAGATTTTTTAAAATTTTTATTTTATTGATTATGCCATTACAGTTGTTCTATTCCCCCCTTCATTCCCCTCCACCCTGCGCACCCCCACCCCTACCATTCCCCCCCTTTAGTTTATGACCATGTGTCTCGAGTTCTTTGGATTCTATATTTCCCATACTATTCTTGCCCTCCCCCAATCTATTTTCTACCTACCATCTATGCTACTTATTTTCTGTACCTTCTCCCCCCATCTCCTCCCACTCCCCTGTTGCCAACCCTCCATGTGATCTTCATTTCTATGGTTCTGCTCCTGATCTAGCTGTCCTTTTAGCTTGCTTTTGTTTTAGATGTGTTTGTTAATAACTGTGCGTTTGCTGTCCTTTCACTGTTCATCTTTTTTATCTTCTTTTTCTTAGGTAAGTCATAAGGGCTTGGTGATGATGAACTCCTTGAATTTCATCTTATCTGAGAAGCACCTTATCTGCCCTTCCATTCTAAATGAAAGTTTTGCTGGATAGAGCAACCTTGGTTGTAGGTCTTTGGATTTCATGACTTGGAGTACCTCTTTCCAGTCCCTTCTTGCCTGTAAGGTCTCCTTTGAGAAATCTGCTGACAGTCTAATGGGAACTCCTTTGTAGGTGACTGTCCCCTTAGCTCTTGCTGCTTCTAGGATTCTCTCTTTCATTTTAATCTTGGCTAATATAATGATGATGTGCCTTGGTGTGTTTCTTCTTGGGTCCACCTTCTTTGGGACTCTCTGAGCTTCCTGGATTTCCTGGAAGTCTATTTCCTTTGCCAGATTGGGGAAATTCTCCTTTTTTATTTGTTCAAATAAGTTTTCCACTGGTGGCTGTTCCTTTCCCCCTTCTGGTACCCCTGTAATTCGGATGTCGGAGCGTTTAAAGATGTCCTGGAGGTTCCTAAGCCTCTCCTCATTTTTTTGAATTCTTGTTTCTTCATTCTTTTCTGGTTGGTCATTTTTATCCTCCTTCTGGTCCACTCCTTTGATTTGAGTCCCAGTTTCCTTTCCATTACTATTGGTTTCCTGTGCATTGCCATTCATTTCAATTAGTTTAGCCTTCATATGTGCCTCTAATTTGTGACTAAAATCAACCAGTTCTGTGAGCATCCTGATGACCAGTGTTTTGAACTGTGCATCTGAAAGTTTTGCTATTTCTTTGTCACTTAGATTTATGGGCTCTGGGGCTTTGAGATCTTTTTGAGCCATTTTTGGTCTGTTCACACCCATTAAGTATGAGGAGTGGAGCCTTAGGGGCGGGGTCACTGGGTTGTGACGCTGTATGTGGTGGCGGGGTCAGAGTGGGGAAATGGCGTCCCCCTCTCCTGCTTCCCGCCGCTGGGTGAGGAGCGAAGCCTGAGGTGTTCACCAGGGTAGGGTCGCTCAGGTAGCTGGGTTGTGATGCTGTATGTGGGGGCGGGGTCAGAGCTGGGAAATGGCAGCCGTCTCTGCTGCCTCCCGTTGCTGGGACCCGCTTGGTCGAGGGATCCGCCGGTTGCTCACTGGGTCCACCCTTTGCAACCCCACGCCTGGGATCTATGCACCTGAGTCCGTCTGACCGAGTTTTCCTGTGCAATCCCGCTCCGTCAGCTGCTGATTTCGCCCCTCTTACTGGTCAGGCTGAAGAATTCGTTGTTATCAGACTTCCGAAAAGTTCAATTTTCTGTGTTTTGGCTATGTTTTCTGTTGCTAATATTTTGTTGTCTCTAAACTTGGTTGTGTGAGAAAGCATGGCATCTCCACCTATGCCTCCATCTTAGGGGAAGTCTGCAAAAAGGAGAAGATTTTATCTTTCTAGTGTTTGGAGCAAATTTGGAGCAATACATTGAGGAAGACTTTAAGTAAGGTGCTCAGACAGCCTAGTCAACAGAAATGCCTGACCCCAAGGATAATGGCCAGGCATAGGTAAACATGACTCACCTCCTCACACAACCACATCAAAATTACAACTGAATCACAGAACAGTCACCACTCACAACTGTCAGAAACTGAGTTGAATGGAAGTCTGACAACTACAGAGTTAAAGAAACCATATCCACTAGACTGGTACGAGAGGCGAAGACACAGAATGGGCTGGTCCCACAGCCATGTACTGTGTATAAAAATTCAGTAAGGCTATCTTGGGAGTGAGGAGTCCTAGCCCCACACCAGGCCACCTCAGCCCAAGGTTCCAGTGCCAGGAAAATAAGTCCTCAAAATTTCTGGCCACAAAAAACAGTGGGAATTGAGTCAGTGGAAGAAGCTCCTGGAGTCCCAAGCAGTTCTTCTTAAAGAGCCCACACACATAGACTTCTGCAAACTTCAGCAATGGGGTAGCAGCTTGAAAGGCACCAGTGGTATATGGTATACGGGGAGAAACTGAAGCATCTGGCATCAAGGCAGGAGCTGAAAGACAGCTTTCACCTGGTCTGAAAGGCAGGCACAGGCCATTGTCTCTTTTCTAAACACTCCCCCCCCCCCCCCCACCCCCACCCCACAGAGTCACAGAGCCTGCAGGCAGGTGTCATATCTAAGACTCCATCAACCTGGCTAACGGTGCTTTGCCCCACCCTGGAGATCCTCTGAGGCTCTGTCCCACCCAATTTACAGCTGTTAACTGTGGCTTTTCCATATGAATGGCTGGTCTTGGCTCTTGCTTTGCAACTTCCTAAATCCTTTCAAACAAGCAAGAGTTGGCCTCAGTGATCCCCCCCAGTCCTCTCCCCACACCTATTGCTAAGTGGATCAAGACACAGCACTAGCAGCAGCCAGCCTAGATTCACAGCTTGGCTTCACCATGAAACTCTCCAAGCCCAGCACAAGTAATAGCCATCTCAGATTGCTTTATAGCTCAGGCGGGGTGGCAGCGGGCAAAACACAGGTGGGGGCTGATCTTGGCTTGCACAACCCGGGAAACTCCAGGGCCTGGTCACCTAGTAGACAGCTACAGACCACATTGGAGCACCAAGACCCTGCCCCTGCACAGCTGTTCTTACTTAGGTTGTACACAAGAGGGAAGGTGATGTGGCTGGGAGGTGAAGATTGGCTGAGCAGAGCAAGAGCCAATGTCTAAAGATATGATGTAGGCTCTCAGGCATCTCAGTTTACCAGTTGAAAGTTAAAAGGGAAGGTTCAGCTTTCTGTCAGAGGATAACAACATTTAGCAATCACTGCCTCTACAGAGAACACTCACCACTAATGGCTAGGATTTTGTGCTCAGTAGTTCAGAGCCCCCCCCCCCCCCCCCAGGCAGACTACAAACTGACAAATGGTGTGGAGTCTCTCATTTGCACAGATTGGATCCCTCACAAGGCTACCAAATCAAGAATTTCAGATAAAGTGTTTGAGCAGTTCACCTGCAAATCATGAAAAATATGGTGGGGATCCATCCATAGCACCCTCATAAATTGCATATTGTTACCAGAATAAAAAGTACAAAAAGACATTCACATTGAGGAAAAGATATAATAAAGATGTTTGTATTAGAAAAAGCTCACACTCCCAAATTTTATGAGAACATCCCTTCAGTAAATGCAAACACTGAAAGTGGTTAAACATTTGATAAGAATCAGTCACCTGAGGTTGCCACAAGGACTTCCAGCTGAGGGGCATGTGACTCAGAATACTTCTAGAGCACCAGGGAGTTAGTAGTGCAGTGATCTCTAAGCCCCAGGGACCAGGAAGCAATTAAATCCTAATGCTGGAGCGGTTTCTGATTTTAAAAAATACAAGGCATATTTATTTAAAGATAGTGAGAAAGTGTTCTCATTAAAAAATATTTTAAATGCAAAAAAGAGGACAATAAGGTCCTCTGCCCTCTAGGTACTTAACCAGGACCAGTTATACTTATCAGCATGGTAAGTGTATCTTCAGAATCAACTCAAACAGGGATAGAAAGCCCAATGCTTGCAAGTTTTTCAGCATTTGAATGGAATTCACACTTAGATTTAGCTGAGATGTAGCCAGAAAGTTAGGACTGAGATCCAGAAAATGGGGAGGGAAAGAGGGATGAGAAAAGTAGGTAATGAATCTCAAAAGTATAAGTCCAAAATACCCAAGGTTTGTACTGTTGCCTTCTTGGGAGCGCTCAGGCAAGAGGAGGGGCCGAGGTAAAAATCCTGTTGCTGGAGGATGCTCTACCA